GCTCGCCAAAGTGCTCCCCAAGGACCAGCTCCTCGGTCACCTGACGGGTACGCGTCCTAGTTTCGTGGTGTTCCCCAACAGGACGTCCGCCATGATGCATGAGGAGTTCACTGACAGCGCCATCCGCAGCCTTGTTGAAACGGGCATGGCGGTACTGTTCGACCCCGCTCTCCATGCTCCGGTCCAGGTGGTCAACCCACTTGCTGTGGTCACTCAGCGCACCAAGATGCGACTGGTGATTGACCTGCGGTATGTGAACTCCTTCGTCAGGTATGAACCCGTCCGCTATGAGCAGCTCTCCGACGTGTTAGCCTTCGCTCATCGTGGGTGCTACGCCATAGTGACGGACCTGAAATCCGGGTACCATCACCTGCGTATGCGCCGCTGCGACTGGCCGTTCCTCGCGGTCCATTGGAAGGGTCGCACTTTGCTTTTGACCCATCTCCCATTCGGGTTGGCATCCGCGTGCGCGGCCTTTACTCACATTCAGACTGCGTTTTACCGGCCTCTGCGCCATTTCGGTTCGTTGATGGCCTTCCTCATAGACGACCGGTATGGAGCGGCGGCCAGCCCGCAACTCTGTATGCTCGACGGTCTGATCTTGGCCCTTGTCGGCACAGCCCTGGGGACTTTCTTTTCATCCAAGAAAGCCGACTGGGTGCCGAAGCAGACGCAGCGCTTCCTCGGCTTGGAAGTTGACTCCGGCGTGGGTGCTTTCCGTGTTCCAGCTGACAAGCGCAGTTATTTTCTCTCGGTTGTGGGTGAACTGCTAGCCGGTGATCGTGTTACTTCCCGTCAATTGGCTCACATCGCGGGACTCATCGTCTCTATGAGCATGGCCGTGAATCTGTGCCCAGCTTTCACTCGGCGTCTATTCGCCGCCTTGGTGGGGACAGAGTCTTGGGATGACCTTTTCCCTACTCCCCAGGAGGTGCAGGATGAGCTTGAGTGGTGGCGGGACAACTTCCACAGGGTTGAGGGTCGCAGTTGGCCCAGCGCCCGCGAAACGACTGTCGCAGTTGGCGACGCCTCGGAAACCCATGTTGGAGCGTTTTTTCCTGGGGGGGCTATTCCTTACCCCCTTCAGGTGGAGCTCCCCTCGCATCTCATCGGTGCTAGCTCCACCGCTCGGGAGCTGTTCGCTGTTCACTCGGTTTTGCGCGCATTGATCGTATGTGCCCCTGGAATGGTGAAGGCACATCGCCTTTTATATCACACTGACAGTCAGGCGAGCAAGTATTGCATCGACCGTCAGAAGGGTGTCAATGAATGCCTTCCCCTCGTGCGGGCGATCCACCTGTTAGCCTGGGAGCACGACGTGGAGCTCGAGCTTGTCTGGTCGAACAGGGAAGACCCTTGGCAAGCTCAGGCGGACTTCTTCAGTAAGCCTAACGACCCCCATGACTGGGGGTTTAAGCCCGAGGCGGTCGCATGGATCTGCCACCAGTTGGCTCTCGATCCCGCCTCTATTTGCCTCGACGTGTTTGCGTCCGCCTCCACGGCAGTCTGCAAACGTTATTTTTCGCGTTATTTTGATGGTCGGTCAGCGGGGGTCGACGCTTTCTCTCACGATTGGCGTCCGCCGCGCGGCTACGCGTGGGTCAACCCCCCGCCGCGCTTGGCCGGTCGGGCGCTTCAGCGCCTCACGCAATATTGGTCTCCCGCCATAATCGTGTTGCCCGCCGCCTGTCGCGCGTGGGAACCGCTCATCGCGGCCCTCCCGGGCCTTCGCGGCCCTTTGGTGATGCCCCGCGCCCTCACCTGGCACGGTCAGGCGATCAGCCCGTGGTTCGTTTGGGGTACGGGGGCGTCGGGGGCGTCGAAGCCCTCCGGCTGGTATCCATGGGTACGCGTCTTTGTATCCCAACCTGATTGTTAAAGATTTTCTGCGAAATTTCGGACAATTGTCTAGGCCTCACGGCCTTCCCCCAGCGGACAGCCGGGCTTCGAGCTCGGGGGGCGGTCCACCCCACACTCGCCAATGGCTCCGCTCTGTCCCTTCGGGCCGCTCCGGCTCACGCGTTCGGGCCTTCACCCTGCGTGCGGCCTGCACCTGCCGATGCCAGTGCCGCCCTCGGTCCACATACCGCTCCACGGTGGTTATTGAGCATAGCAGTGTCTGGCTGGCCACGTCGGCCATCGACATCCCAAGCTCATGATGCCTATGCTGCAGGCTCCCTCGTTTGCTGCTGTAGTACGTCAGCGTTTCCGGCGCATCGACCCGCTGGGCCCAATACCGCATAATGCGGGTAGCCTCCATCACCTCTACCGACCGGTTCTGGGGCCCGCGTCGCTGATCCCAGGCGGGCAACAGTACCTGAACGTCCCCGCGCCCATGCTGGCGGAGCCAGTCTCCCATGAGGACGAACCAGTACAGGAACCCCAGTTCCTGGTGACGGTCTATCTCCACCCGTCCGGGCCGGAATTCGGTCGTGGTCTTCAGCGACCATACGTCTAATAACACTGCCCCTTCCACAGGGCGCGTCCCCGTCCTCGCCGCCCATATCGGGCGGCCCCATTCATCCACTATCATGTCCCGCGTGTACGGCCCCAACTGCGGTTTCACTCGCTGGCCGGTTTCCCACAAAAAGGTCAGCAACACGGCGTCACGCATGACACGACCCCTCACCATGGGGTCGCCTTCCCTCGTGAGCTCTTGTTGGCACGCTCTCACCATCCGCCATACCACTCTATACGCAATGGCTCCGCACTACTTTCTCCTACCCCTTGCACCTGCTGCGCGGCCCGGTAGGCTTTCTTCCAAGCTCGGACACAGTCGGACTTACACGGATTCCCGCTCCCGTCCTCGCTGCGCCAGTCGCCCTCTCGTCCGCTCCGGCGGAACCAACTACTCAGGTGGCTCACTTCCTTTTCCATGGTATTGAAATGCCACACCCTCTGTCCACTCTCGGTGTGGGTTCGTGCACGCCCCTGCCGCTTCTGGGAGAACCATTCCAGAAAGGTGATGACATCCTCCGGCTGGGGCGGGCCTACTTGCCACTCGGCTGGCCGCCGGGCCCACCAACTCACGAACTCTCGTTCGATCAGTTGTTTCCGTTGAGGCAATCTCTTCTCAGAAACTTGCTCCACCCGCGCTCTATGCGCCTCTCGCGCTGCTCGGTACTGCCTATTCAGCTCCATTACCGTCCATTCCTCCCCTCGGACAGCCGCGACGGGCCCTCCGAGCACTTCGTCCCGGGTCTCCTGCACCTCCTACACCCGTAGGCCACTCTTAGTCAGTCCGCATACGGCAATTGCCTTTGCAGCCCACAATTGGGCCGAACGGTTGGGTATGCCTGGAAACGACCCTCTCGCCTCCCTCGGGAAGAAAATGGCAAATCAGGGTATGCGTGGCTAGGCGCTCAAGTATAGCGCCAAAGCAGGAATCGCAACCGTTATGGAATGCCAGAGGGCCGTTGACGATCGAAACACGAGGCATATGCCCCTCTCCGTTCCGGGCGGGGGCGGACCATGAGGCCCGTTACGACGGCAAACCGTTACGACGTGAGTGGACGCTACTCAAGACAGAAGCGAACGGGAAGCGTGCGGATGACTGAATGGGAATCGGACGTAGGAGGTAGCGGCACCGTAGTAGGACGAGAGGATACGGAGCAAGACAATTTATGGTTAAACGGTCATTTGTTAAGATACACTCACACTGAGCGGCATTCTTAACATGATTAACAGAGATTAATGAGCGCGGACGCGCCAGGACCACGTCTGATGGGTTAAAGTGCACAGCACGGAGACCGAGGCTATCGCTCCTCGCGTCAAGCGCTGCGGGCCATAACCTAGCGCGACCGCCGCCGCCAGCCTGCCGCGGAAGCAAGCGCAAAGGATGGTAAGCACGGCGGCGGGGAGAGCGAGCCGCGCTAGCAGGAAGCGGAGAGAATTTTGCGACCCACCCACCCACAGTCCTTGGGGGTATGCCTGGAAACGGCCCTCTCGCCTCCCTCGGGAGGAAAATGGCAAATCAGAGTATGCGTGGCTAGGCGCTCAAGTATAGCGCCAAAGCAGGAATCGCAACCGTTAAGGAATGCCAGAGGGCCGTTGACGATCAAAACACGAGGCATATGCCCCTCTCCGTTCCGGGCAGGGGCGGACCATGAGGCCCGCCCCCGGATCGGGGCATTTGGCAAACCGTTACGACGTGAGTGGACGCTACTCAAGACAGAAGCGAACGGGAAGCATGCGGATGACTGAATGGGAATCGGACGTAGGAGGTAGCGGCACCGTAGTAGGACGAGAGGATACGGAGCAAGACAATTTATGGTTAAACGGTCATTTGTTAAGATACACACTCGTACTGCCCCACAATTGCCGCAAGCGCCTGTCGCATTGCATGGATGACACTTGCCATGTATGGCGGGTATAGCACGGACGGTGACATGCACACCTTTGTCATGACACCATATGTAGGAGAACTTCTACAGGCGGACGCGCCTGAGCACACCCCTGGAATCACTCTCCACACTTCGAAAATCGTAAGGAGTGTCTGGACCACAGCCGCGGGCGCGGGCGCGGGCCGCGTGTCGCGGAATGTGCGCCGTATTTTCCCATTCGTCGCCACGCTTCGCTGCAGCGAGATATTTTTCTTCACCACTGGTTGTGGTTGCGATCGGAATGCATGGCCGGTGTACAGTCAGCGGATCACGGCCTTCGGACGGGTCGGCATCGACCTGGATATGGAGATCCGACCTTGAGGCCGTTCCATCCCCAGGGCTCGCACTTTCCTCGGGCCCACGCGCCGCTTTTCTCCCCCGCCATTGTATTCCCCAGGCCCCCTTCCCGCCGCCCGGTGCCCAACCCAGCCCAGTACCCCGCAGCCGCGCCTGCAGCGCCCCAACGCAGCACTCTTGTGCTCCTCTCCCCTTCTTTCCAACAGATCGGCCCACGGGCGCCGCGGCGAGCGCCCGAAGGCGTCACCCGGTGCGCGCGTGCAGGCAGCTGGAACTCGGCAGAGGCGGGATTTCAGATAATTTCAGCAAGAGACTTTAGCAATGGCTCTGCTGTCCCCGGTTGCCGGCTCCGGTCGCGCGCCCCTGCCCCCCACGGGCACCTCTGGGCGCGACGCTTCCCAGCGAGCGCTGGCCACCCCACCGGAGGCTGTTGAGAGATCCCGGCGCTCGAGGCCGTCTGTGGAGGCGCACCTCAGGCCCTGCCTGCCCCTCACCGCCGCATCATCTTCCAAGCGCTGGGCGCTGCGCTGCGCGGCAGAGGGCGAGCAAGAGCGCGACACCGGGATGAGCGCGGAGGAGATCGAGGCTGCGGCCGGGGACGCGGGCAACGAGGAGGACGGGTACAGGGTGCTGGTGCGGGTGTACAATTTGGATCGCTACGGGCTGGCCCCGATGGGCGCAAAGCTGCTGAAGAAGGAGGTGGACGGGATCTGGCATGTTGCGGTGGCGGTGCACAACTGTGAGTTCTGGTACGACCACCAGGTCAACCAGCAGGATTTGTCGGAGGTGGAATTTGCATTTGGGTTCGGGCCTGCGTACGTGTACGACTTGGGGCGCACGAGGACGACCAAGGAGGAGTTGGAGCGCCTGGCCTTCGGCCCCCTGGCGGAGAAGTACCACATCGACAGCTACGACTGCTTCTACCACAACTGCCACCACTTCGCGAATGAGTTGTGCATGAATTTGAACGGGCGGCGCATCCCGCAGTGGTGCATCGACCACGGGGAGCAGGGCCTGAGCGAGATGGGGGAGGCCAACGCGGCGCTGACGCGGTTCGTGACCAACAAGATCGCGCGGATCATGATGGTGTCCTGGGGGAAGTACAGCAAGGAGCGGTTCGTGCAGCTGACAGAGATGAAGGAGGAGGAGGAGGAGGAGCGGGCGCGGTCGGTGGGGCAGGCCGCGGCGTGAGACGGAGCGCGGAAGGGGGAGGGACTTCGCCTCGCACAGGTGCATGTCTGTGCATGTCATTCCTGTTGCACGACTCCTTACGACGCAAGGGGGATGCATCATACAGTTTGGGAAAGTGATCCATTCTACCTTGACAAGGCAATGCATGACAGATGTGTGTGCACATTCCATGACTTGATGTAACTGTTGCTTGCTTGCTTGTTGCAATTTGAGCACGGCAGAACAAGAGCTCTGACGAGTTCTCGCTGTGAGTAAGCAGACATTCCTTGCTTGTCCTGGTGAGCGAATGAAGCCTGAGTACTACAATACTGGGCTGTATTTGGTTCGCAATACTTGGCTCATCGCTCCCTGGAACAGAGCAGTATGATGCACAGACATGTCCAACCCACAGCTGCTGTCAGTCCCAGGGTTTTGGACAGCCTCACTGAGGTGACCAGGGTGCTCAGGTGCTTTGACAAGAGGAGGTGGTAACAGTCAAATTTTGCTCTCCAGACAACGTTTATGGCAAGGACACGGATGCATCAACTCAAGAAAGTGTTCCGATTGCCATGCTTCTAGATGAATGTGGACAGGCCCACAACCCTGGATTCTTTCTCCATAAAATGACCAGCTTTTTCCACCTGAACCATAGGCAGTGCGGCAAGGAATGCATGTGCATGTATGGACTTTACTAGCATGCTGGCAAAGTTACCTGTCTGCGATTTGTTACCAGTTGAAGTATGTCTGAAATGCTGGAAAGCATAGTCAGGGTAGCTAGTCAGTGCATTGGCAAGCAAGAACCACAAGTTTAATCCACAACAGATTCCTGCTGTTCGGTGTTTGCTGCAACTCTATGACTTTTTGTGCAACTGAGGTTTCCTTGCAGTGTCACGGTCCATCTTCAGAACATCCTTCCCAATGTACGACGAGCTGCATGCATAGTTGTCAATAGCGCTATTGTTGTGTGTTATGCAAAGTGGGCCTTGTGCTGATGTGTGTGCATCGGGCAACCTGTGCTGTCTGAAACTTGGAAAGCTGTAGAGCCCTTGTGCTGTAGGCCTTCAGTTGCCGATTTAAGCTAGCATGCATGAACGCACAAAGACCTTATCAGTTAATTTGTGTTCGTCTGCTTGCAACTGAAATGGAGCACGTCTACAGTGGCGACTTCCCCTGAACAAGGAGGTGTTGGCAAGAACCTTTACCACACTGCAGATACTACTGAAGCAACTGTCGCAGGGGGCAACAGTGATGGCATACATCACAGGCGTTGTGTGTGTCCCTCATGCTTCTGGTGGTTTTGATGCTCTCTCCATGGTTTCTGTGGATTTAGTTCCCACTTTGAATTCAAGCTGTCATTGACCAGATCTTGCCTGACCACCTTCACCAAAACTGCATGAATATGTTGTCCTGCACTTTGCTCATTGTGCCATTGTGATTGCTGTTCCTTCAGGACCAAAGGTCTGCAACATTGATGCTCAGTCTACCTCGTTCAGGGAGGGCACTGCAAAGCCCATGGAGGAAATGGGCTGTATTGTGTCTCTGCATCGTTATTGGATGCCGGTGGTCAATATTCCTATGGATCAATGGCTGGGAATGGGGTTTGGGTTTGGCTTGATGGAGTTGCAGTATGGCCACAGTGATTGCAACGTGCAACCCCATTATTGATTGGCTGCTATTGTGTCTATTGAAATTTTCATTCTTGATTTTTGGTGGTGTCAACTGCCTGGTTTGGTGCATTCCATGTCACGAACACGTGGAACCATGCCCATGAAGACCACAAGCGCTTGGTGGCATGCGGGCAGGGCAGCTGTAGGAGATTGTTCTGCTACGACGAGCACCAATGGGATATCATGTCTTCCTGCATCTGCGTCGCAGTGTTGCATGCATTGTATCACATACTTTTGAGCGAGTGCGATATACGTATTGTCAGACTGGAAATGTAGAAATAGTTTCGAGTAGGGCTGGTCCTCGGGCTGGAAAAACGGGGTCCGGGCACCCGGAGTTGCGCAAGTTGGATATCCGGGTTATCCGGGTGCACTCAGTACCCGGGTAATTGCGAATACCTGGGCACCCGGGCAACGATAAGTTCCCGGGCCCGGGTGTGTACCCGGGCACGGAAAGATTCTCCTTGGCGCCGGCTGTGCGGCGTTGGCCTGCCGCACTCGACAGCGCTTGGCTGGGTGCCGTCTAAGGGAGTCCGTGACGACGACGATGCAGCTCGCCTGACGTTTTCTATGGTGAACCGTGCGTTTCGAGGGCACAGTAACAGCCCAGAAAGGGCTGTGGACGCCTTGGTCAGCGATCGCGTTGACCGATCGCGATCCAGAATCAAATACGCCAGAATCGTCAGACGACAACAGCCACAGCGACAGCCACAGCGACAGCCACAGCGACAGCCACAGCGGCAGCCACAGCGACAGCCACAGCGACAGCCACAGCGACAGCCACAGCGACAGCCACAGCGACAGCCACAGCGACAGCCACAGCGACAGCCACAGCGACAGCCACAGCGACAGCCACAGCGACAGCCACAGCGACAGCCACAGCGACAGCCACAGCGACAGCCACAGCGACAGCCACAGCGACAGCCACAACGACAGCCACAACGACATGGCGCTGTGGAGGGCGACCAGCACCTCGCAGCTGTGGCATGGGTCACATGCTAGATTGGCACAACGCCCTGGGTGTTGCAGCTTAACAACATTGGGTCACCATTCGGGGTACAAAGAATGGACCAGCCTACAGCAAGACCAGAGTCCCACGCTTGCAAAATAGGGTCCTGTCTCAACAACCAAACAATAGGTCTATTTCCAGCTGGCGCTCTGCGAACACCCACAGAATCTCTCTGGAGGAATACGGTGCATGCGCACCGACCCCCAACTCCTAGTATCAGCACAGGCCGCTCTATCTTCCCTTTGTTACGGGTCGCCAAATAATGACCACGAATGGGGATCATATAAAGGAGGGAACCCACCCTGACTACGACTGGCTGGCGCCCCTACTACAACAACTTTTCCAGATACTTGGTCATTCACCACGAATGCGTTGCAATTTGAACAGCTTTATGAGCCTCACATGGGCTGGGAGTCCACAATGGGAGACAAGAGCGCAAGTGACAGATAAAATTGTCGTACTCAGCGATCAAGGATACGGCAGAGGAGGACGGCAGGCAGAGAGTGACACAAGTACCCCCGCTTAGTCTGTATGGAAAGGGGCAAGAGGGGGTCACCTGCATTTTCCCACCATTCCTACTGGCATGACATACTAGTACAAGGAAAATCCCCACATGTCAAATGAGAGGGGATCCAGCCCCATGCAAGCACACGGAACGCACTGCGCTCGTTGCTCTCGCCCTCGAGCCCTGTGGCGGGTGACACCGACTGTGCGAAAATGTCGTCCCAGTCGAATGACAGCGAAGGGGGTCTCAGTGAGACTTTCGGTGCAGCTGTGAGAGAATGGCGCGGAGACTTGGGCCTGCCACAGTCCCATGATGTGTCCAACCTCTGTCAGGAGGTCATGGATGCCATGAAGGCTCGGGAGGAGACTCTGAATGGGCACCATATGACGGTTCTGGGCGACGGGGAGACCGTTTTTGATGCCCGCTGGCGCCGACTGCGAGACCTTCAGGATGCGATTCTGACCGAATGGCGCGAATCGCAAAGACGGTACCCCTTCCTGGCGCAGCAAGTCGAAGCGCTTGCGGACCACTTCGAGAAGTCGCTGGATGTGAGTGGAGTGGCGCAGGAAGTTGTCGCCCAGAATCGCCGCATGTTCCAGCATCGGGTGATGTCCTGTGCCGAGCGTGAATGGGACATCGTCGTCTCGGAGGTGGACAGATTCAGGTCGCGCGGATGGCATAATGCTACGGTGATGGAGCGGGCCATCGAAATCGTTGAGGCGAAAATAGCAGCGCGTAAGGGCCTGATCCGCAAGCGCTTCTTCAGGGGTCTGTCCAAGAGCAACTCCATCCAGGAGATTATGGACAAGGACGTTGAGCTGGGGGTTCTGATGGCAGACCTGGAAAAATTGTACCGATTACCCCCTGGAGCAGGTCCCCAGGAAGGAGTAACCCAGTGGTTCCTCCAGGCGGTCTCAGCCCATGGCAGGCGAAACCGTGAGATAGCTGCGGATAGAGAAAAGTTGGTTTTGGGGAGACAAGTGCGGGGTTGGTTGAGGGGGAATAGGGATTTGAATGTGGACCATGTGGAACCTGCGGCATCGTCATCTGCTGATTGTTCGAAGAGTCCTCCCCTTGGTGGGGAGGAAGAAGTTGAGCAGGGGCGACCTGGGTGGTCTGGGGCTAAGAGACCACGGGAATAGGACGGGTGCTGAATGGAAACTGGACGCATGGCATGAACGGAAACTGTAATCGAATCGTCTACGGTGTCCATGTTGTCGTATGTGGTGTCCTCTCCCGGTCTGTGAGATGCTCATGAATCTCATGACCTGCGCTCATGCTCCCTTCCCTTGCGTTTGGAAGCGTTGCCAGGCGCGGGGGAGGGCGTGATGCTTGTCGGACTACCCAGTTGCATACGGGGGACAAGAATCCATGTGAATCGTAGCATGGAGTACAGGTCCGCATGAACGCCTGTAGTGTGGCTGGCTTGCGCACCAGGTGAGGTGTTGGCCTTTGACCTGACCTGACTGAATATGCCGTGCTGGGCACGGAGGGTGACTGATGTTGACGTTACTGTTCATTGAGGGGACATACGATATCTCAGACGGTGTGACGTGACACTCTCGAGGCTCAGCCGGATATGGGACATGCGGAATGTCCGGGTAGTGCGGCCGAGTGGTTGCATGGGTATACGGAATCGTTGGGAGTGCGTGTTTGCCGAGACGGCCCGTCACCATCTCAGTTTTCGTCGACTCGCGACGTGGGGATTGTGTCCGTGCGACATGACGGTGGGAGGCGTATGGATACGATCCCCTGATGAAATCGCATCGATGCGCCGAGCGGTTGAGCGACGGGCGGAGCGACAAGACGATCCGTCGCCGGACCATGTGTCAGAGGCGGAGAG